TACTTAAAGCAAGTGTAGGGAGGCAGAGAGTTAGCTTGAATTTCCTATGTAGTTTTAATGATAAAGGTTCTAAAATGTGTTCTAGAATAATAACATTTTTACATTCCCTCAGCAAATACAGTGACTAGTTCAACATGATTCTGGAAGCCCCAGCATGAATGCCTTTCTGGGTTAACTATCTTCAAGTCTACATTTTCTCTTATTCTTCCTCACCCAGTACACAGACAACTCTGACGATCTGTAGAGATGTCTAGCAACCTCACACATGGAAAGACATTAATCACAACATAACAGAAGGTAGAGTGTGACGCTATCAAGGTCCACATGCTGCCTGTTTGTCCAGCCACAGTGCAGAATCTCACAGTTCCCTGGAGCTCTGCCTGATGCCCTCAGAGAGGCTGCCGCCAGTTTGGACAAAATTAGCCCTGGCCTAATGCGATGTTTGATCAAATATAAACAAATTTAAGTGCAAGACTAAATGTTCAAATTGTTTCTGAGTAACTTAACTTATCCCAGAAAAAAAGCTGTAGAATATTTGTGGTGTATGACAACACCTGGCATCTAGTAAGCCTCATCTCATCACAATTGCCACTCAATAATTAGTTCATAACTAAAGGTTAGCATGTCTCATTGATTTGAAAAAACAAATTGATTCAAGCTCAGACAGAGATGCTATAGATGTTAGAATTAATAGACAGAGCATCAAAATAGTTGCTGTCATTAAATCATATTTTCTCAACAAAGTAAAGACAGAGAGGCTTCAGACTGAGCTCCTAGACACAGTAATTGCAGTGTTCAGGTCAAAATCTAAACTGGGGCAAAAGGTAGGTTGGATATATAAGCGGACAAAACTCAAAGCGAACTCTGCAGGACCTGGGAAGATGGCTCCACTGGTAAAGTGCTTCTTGTGTCAACATGGGAACCTGAGTTCAGTTCGTATCACCTCGCCTAAGCTGGAAAGCAGGTTGCCCAGGGCTGGAGGCCAAAGACAGGTAAAACTCTGGAGCTTGCTGACCAGTCAGGTTCAGTAAGAAATCCTACATAAAAAATGGAGTGGGGAAAACTGAGGAAAGATACCTATTGTTGACCTCAGACCCCTATACACATGCACACATGCATCCACACGCACACATGAGAACACATACCACGGGTACACATCACATACACACACACACACACACACACACACACACACACACACACACACACAGCAGTAGCCTGTGTGACAACATGAAAGCAATCTAATATGTGTCTAATGAGCCCCTAATGGAGAAGAACAAGGAGTGGAGATGGAAAATTGATCTGGAGACATAGTGTTAAGCATTTTTCTGATTTCAGGGTGATTGTAGATTGGCACTTACAATGATCTCAATGAACCCCAAGCAGAAGAAACAGCTAGAAAGTGATGGCAATGTGGAGCAAAATCAAGTTATTGAGCTGTTACTAATGAGACAGTCATAGATTCAGCTAAAGGAAAGCAGGCATGCGTATTCTGTCTGGAGTCAATGGATGTAGAAGACATAACCCCTTTAGATAGAAAACAATAAAAATATCTACACATAAAACTCAACCTTGGAATCTACAGGAAACAAAGACCAGTGAGATAGATCAGTGGGTAAAAGTACTTACTGCTGAACCTGGTAACCTGAGTTTCATCCCCAGGATCCCTATGATGGAAGGAAAGATCCTACTCATTACGTGGTCCTCTGATGAGCACATGAACACCATGGTATAATGTACCCCTCCCCCAACAAACACCCACTCTCTCACACTAACTATAATTTAAAAAATTCAAAACTAAATATTTTAAAACCAAAGACAAAATGGAAGTAAAAACTTCTAGTATACACAAAACCTGAACAAATTCATGACCAGCAAATCTGCTACAGGAAACGTAAAGGAAGACCTCAAGGCAACAAGAAAATCTTGCCATGGAAATAAGGAACATTCACAAGGAAGCAGAGGTATTAGAGTAAATATCTGAGTAAAGATTTAGCCACACATAACTGTACATCTTCGTGGAGTTCAGAATGCTATCTTCCAAATACAGACAGAACTATGCCAGCCACCATCTTTTCGTTCTGGTACCCTTCCCAACAGCTAGTAGCTACAATTACACCTCCTTTTGTGCACACAGTAAGTATTCTGCTGAAATGCTGTCATTGTAGCTAACAACAGAAAAACACACAAGTGAAGTTTTTCTCTTTTTACAAATACAGTTTATTTACTTTAATGAGCTTTTGTCATGAGGCAGAAGTGTAGGGCTTCCATACAAGTCCAGTCTCCACCTCCCTGTTCTAGACACCCTGTGAGTGAATGGTGATGGATTTGTCTAAAGACACTAAACTAACAGTGCTCTCACCTGCATTCAGGGTTGACCTAAGGTTAACTTAATTCCCTGTGGACAAATGCACAACATTGCTTTTCCTTCTTGAAGGCTAAATGACAATCCATTGTGTGTATGCTCTGCATCTGTATTCATTTTAGGTTGTGTCTATTATCGGTAAAGGACATTTACAGAGGCTGTCACAAGGTGCAGGAGTGGAGCACTACGTGCTTTCTTGGACAACTGACTGTTCAGTAGGGTGTCTGATGGTGTGTGTGAGCTCTGTGCTGTGGTTTCCCTTTTGTTTCCTCAACTAACATAATTTACTTCATACATTCTTCTTTTCCTCTAGGAAATTCATGGACTGGATGTTTATCATCCGGGCCCTAGCTCACCATCTTTTCATTCGGATCACCCCCTTTTTGTCCTGCTTCTTTTGGTCTCAAGACATTGATTGATGCCTGCATCACCTTTCTCCTTTCCTTGCTTCTGTGGCACCCATTTCTACTTTCCACTTCTCCCGCACCAGATGGAGCCCCTTTCAACTTCTTCCCCCTCCTGTAAGTGATAAGTTAACACATTTATTTGTATTACAAAGCTAACAGCTTAGATTTTTTCATAATAGTTCCTAGAGAACTTTGGAGTACGGGTATCTCATTGAAAACTCGAAGCATTTCTCCAGCACCACCTTGTTGCTTTGGCTTTCTAACTGTTTCTAACAGCATCTCCATGCATACTGAGGCATTGGAAAGGCACCAAACACTGTCCTGAGCACTGGGAGCGCATGCCTTGAATTATCAATGATTTCTGGAAAGCCTTGATTCAATCCTGAATGATTAAGATCTTTTGACGCCTGGCGTCTGCCAGGAACAACCCAGGGGACTGGGTGGGTGTTTCCTGCTCGCCAACACTGTCCAGCTTGTTTGTTTCAGATTCACTCTCTGAGATTTTGAAAGAAAGATCCGATAGTTCCAGTGACTCTAATGGGTGGATATGGTGTCCTGAGCCATGGTGACTCCAAGATTCAGAAGTGAGTGAATTGAATTTGTATAATCCTGTGAAATTTTAGTTCCTGGATTAATGACAGGAAATTTAAAATTCTTACTATGTTCCTTAACATTATGGAATTGCCTAGCCTCCATGTATGTTGGACCTAGGGTTGGCCAGTGAAAAGTGTGCCCTCACTCCTAGTACTCTTGTCTCATGCTGAACCCAGTAGACAGACACAGGCTGTGGCTCTGGCTCTGTAATTTGATGTCACAAAAGCTGATACCACTTTGAAAGTATAATTTTCTCTTTATTTCCTAATTTTCAAGTATCATTCTATCCACAGAATGGCTGGAAACACTCATGATTCTTTTCCAAGTGCTGTCAATAGGTGTGACTGTAAAGGCCTCCAATGGAGTGGCTTTTGATCAGGTGTATTTTTCATTCATATTCTTGGTTGAAACTCTGATTGCGCCAGTCTAGATGTGGAAGGTGGATGTATGCTCTCTCAGAAATGGGATTTGCAAGCAGTGACAATTACAGGTCCCTGAATATGGACTGGGGCCTTACAACCACTTAGAATTTACATGTGGTCATAAACTGTGCAGAGAGGAGAGGGAGCAGAGAAAATCTTGAGTATGTAAGATTCTGAGTGAATGTCTGTAATGACCCTGACTTTTTGTCTATCTGTATATACTGACTCTGCCCCTTGTCTATCTGTGTGTAATGACCCTGCCCCCTTGTCTATCTGTATGCAATGGCCCCACCCCCTTTTCTATCTGTATGTAATGACCCTGCCCCCTTTTCTATCTGTATGTAATGACCCTGCCCCCTTGTCTATCTGTATGTAATGACCCTGTCCCCTTGTCTATCTGTATGTAATGACCCTGCCCTCTTGTCCAGTTGTATGTAGTAACCCCATACCTCTCTGTTAAACTCTATATAATAAGCACACCAAGGTCCCAGCATGCTGAGTTTTCCTGATGAGAAAGTGCAGTCCACCTGATCCCAACCTGTGTGTGTGTGTGTGTGTCTGTCTGTCTGTCTTTTCATTCTCTCATCATTATAGTCAGGTAAAATCTCTGGAAGCTGTGCAGGGACACAAGAAACCATTCAGGAATGTGAAAGAGAGGGCCCCCTGATCTGATGGACAGTACTGATCCCTGGGCATGGGGATTTGGGGTCCGATGCAGAGGCTGCTCCGTGGCTCTGTGATGCTGACTTCTACAGCACTGGGAACAGGAACCGAGGACAGATGGGGGATTTATTTTGAAGGAAGAGCTGGAAGCATTTGATATACACAGGAACATTAGCTGTTACTAAGAATAATAACCACCTTAGCATGAAGAGGGATATTTAAGGAAACTATCTGCTTTCTTGCCCTCATCGTTTTGTTTCATTTTCTGCATTTTAGAACCACTTAAAACCAGACAGTGTTTGTTGAAATCTTTATGCTTCCATACCCAACATTTTGTTTCATTATTGTTTGGGACCTAAGCGATGCAGACTTTCTTATGCCAGATTGTATAAAGAAACTGAACTGCAGAGAGAATAAAGTTAATGGTTTGACAATTACTAGCAAGCAAGCTATAAATCTCATATTCTTCTACAGCATAGTTCAGCTGAGTCTGTAGAAAGAGATTTGATAAAGGGCCTCCACTTTGTCTCTTCTTTGGTCTTTCTTCAGAAGAACATCCCCCTCAGCAGTCTGTATTGCTATCCTGAGGAAACCCCTTCAGGTGAATACTTTGCTCCCAGTCTGGTAGGCCAAAGCATGGTGGTGACACTTGGAGGGGGGACAGATTACAAGGTAACACAAGCTACAGTCTGGCAGGTCAAAGCATGGTGGTGACACTTGGGAGGGACAGATTACAAAGTAACAGAAGCCCCCCTCACCCCCTGTGAAATGCTCAGATCTGGATCACTCTGACATAATAACCCTCTTGACAGAACTAGTTAGGAGGCCCCTGAGAATTGCCACAACCCCTTCTGTAGCAGCAACTCTTACACCTTTGCAGTGGCTGGCACCCCTTAAAAGTCCTACCCCTCTTACCACACTGGGGCCAAGCTTCCAAAATGTGAGACAATTACATCCAAACCACTGCATGACCTCATTTTCTCCTGTCCCCTGGAACCGTCTTTGAAATTTAGGGACTAAAACCTTCTCCTCTTTTTGTCCTGATTGTCAGAGCTGCTGCCACAGAAAACCAGAACAAGTTCCTTCTTGATCTCATCAAGACCTAGCTGGGAACTCATTCTCCAGTGTGTTCCTTTGCAAAGAGTATAGAAATGGAACTCACAGGGCTGAGCCTCTAGCTTTGTTGGCAGAATTCTTGCCTCACATTCAAGAAGCCTGGATTTGATCCCCAACACCAATAAACTGAGTGTGGTGTTACAGGCCTGTAATCCAGCGCCTAGGAGGCAGAGGCAAGGGGAGAAGAAGCTGAAGATCATCTTCCACTATACAAGTAAGTTTGAAGACAGTTTGGGCCACATGAGACCCAGTCTCCAAACAACCCCCCCCCAACACACATACCACTCATAGTTCACAAAATAAACCATCAGAAAATATTTCTGGAGTAGTTGGTAAACTCCACGTGGAGAATCTAAAGCAGCAGTGATGTTCACAGATGAGAATGGGGGTGAAAAGGCTGAAACAGTAAAAATACTTTAACAGTTAATGTACCTTGCAGGAGTTAAACGCCACTAGTCCGACCTAGTCGTCACTATGTCCAGCTCTCGGGCTCTGCAATAGTCTCTACCATGAAAGCCCACACTTCTCAGAAGTATGCTGCTCTGATTCTGTCTTCCAGCAGTCGGGAGAACATTTTTTATTTTTGTCAGAAGGTAAGGTAGACAAGTGCCAATAACACTTTATGAATCATACCGCGTCCTGCCAAATTGCTATTAATTGCTATTGTTTAAGTCATTTAACTAGGAGTGACTTGGCACAGCCTCTCCCCCCACACTCCACTGCGCCTGGTGCTCAGCATAGCTTTAGGGTGAACATTTTTCACTCGGGCTCCCCTGTGCTCCAAAGAGTTAGCGGCTCACCAGGAACAAAGTGGGCTAAGTTCTCCAAATGATTCTCTTCCCAGATTCTCCTGCATGCCCCTTCCCAGGAGGCCTTCTCTGGATGTCTGTGATGGTGAGCTACTTATCACCTTGACAGACTCCAGACTTCCCTGGGGAGAAGGGCATGCCTTTGGAGACTATGTTTTGCCGATGTGGGAAGACTCATTTTTTTCCCTGTGGGAATGACCATTCCTTGAGCAGGAAATGCTGGATTGTCTAAAGTGCACACAGCAAGCTGAACTAGGAGATGAGCACGGCTTGCTCTCTGCTTCTTAACCGAAAACACGTGATTTAATGTATGCAGGTGGTTTTGCCTGTGTATATCTCTGAGGCACATGCATGCAGTCTACACAGGGGCCAGAAAGGACATCAGATCCCTACCACTACAGTTACAGGTGTTGGGGCTGCCGTGTGGGACCTAGGGACTCATCCGTGGTCCTCTGGGAGAGTAGCAGCTGCCGAGCCACCTCTCCAGCCCCTCTCTTCATCGTCACTGCGGATACATGAGGAAATTCATCCCTGCAGTAAAGAGCTTGCCATGCAGTCTGAGCATGTCTGTGGACCATGTTCCATGCGATGGTGAGAATGGCCTGGCTGGCAGGGCACAGAGGACATGTTTGAGACGCACGGTGGAGGATGTGCTGAGGACGGCGACAGGGGGAAATGTGAATCAACTAACATCCAGCCTCTGACTTGAGCTGCTCAGGTGAAGGAAAGACAAGGCTAGAATGGTACAGGCTTCACTCAGGCTTGGTCAAGACCTAGAGGGAAGGCATCCGTGTGTGTCACACACAGAACTGTGAGAATAAAAAGGAAGCAAAGAGCTGAGCTGTGCAGCCCTCCATCACTACTTCCCAGCATGGGCACTCACACGACTTGAGATTCCGGTGGGCAGGAGCCCACCCAACGGTGGCAGTTAATGACCTCTCTTTTCCTTTGCGTGGTTTAGAGTCACAGATTATCATCCACAAGGCTTCATTTCTTTCTGACAAGCTGTTCTGGATGTGTGTGAGCCTATGTTAGGAAGCCTGGGCTCTCTAGACTTCCTTTCTTTGCATTTTCTTTGCATTAGCAGCTACCGGTACGAAACAACAGTTGCCAACTGCAGGGACTTATGATTCTGAGGTGTCATACCCGACATGGAATGGTTTTTCTTACGAAATCCATTGCTAACTCCTGTCACGCATTCTTTACTGGACGGCTGGTCTCACCATCCCGCTGACAATGGTATCTCATGACATTCAAGAGGAGCCGACCTGCTATCTGAACCCCAAGCTATCTCACTTCCCTGAGGGGATGGCCCACATACAACTCATGTTCCTGTTCTTAAATGGAAAAAGAACCTGAGTGTTCCATGGGCTAAGGGGCTCCAGGAAGAAATTAAAGGGGCAAAATATGCTTTCTCCTTTCTGGCTCCTCCCTCTCTGGAGTGACTGAGCACTGATTTTTGAGGGCGGTGCAGCAGACAGACATTTCTGTGCCCTAAACTCGTCCTCCTGCACAGAGGGGACCAGTCTTTCCACAGTATTAAGAAAGCACTGTTCAGTTCCCACCGACTGACCAAGACAGGAACCCAGCCTGCATAGCCTTCTGTAGAGCCCCTTCTCACTGTCGGCTGCTCGTTTCATGTTGCTCTACAGCCCAGCTTGTTTCCTCGGTCAATTAGACTGCCCTTGGCAACCCCGACTTCTTAAGCTGTTGTCTTTTCTCGGAGTTTGCAGATGGAAATCAAAGTTCACCCTGGAGTGGGAGCCTTTAAGTACAATGAAGTGTGCTGTACCTTTAGCATGTCGTCACATGCTTCAAGAACGGCTTTTGCCTGTGACATTCAAATCATATGCTTTTTAAAAGAATGTCTCTCCGCTCTGTTCGCACATTGGAAATATTTGGAACACTTAAAAAAAAAAACTAAGCGAACACTAATGCATGGATTTTCTCTGGATACCTTTGCAGTAAGTCTGGATGTGTCCTGGTTACATTTTTGTCTCTCTCAGCTGATCCACCACCATCACTGTCATACAGCAGAGAGGGAGGGTTGTGGGGAGTGGGGTGTGATGTACTGGGCTGTGGGCACACACCACTGTACCACATCTGGGCCCGCTTAAGCATCTTGACCTCAAATCTCTTATGTTAACAGCAAAAAACGTGAACATCTGGCCAGCCTTTGCATTTGTCCATTAAATCAAACGAGAGAATAACTCTTAATCTACCTTGAAGTGCTGTTTAAGACACCTGCCATGGTTGCATTCCCACCTAGACCTACAGGTGAACTGCGAGCTGCCAGCTGGGGATTTCCTCCACCTACAGACCCTTCCTCTGAGTCCTGGCTTCTGCCCTGCCTGCCTTCAATCTTCACACAAGCGACTCCTCTACTTTACACCCAGCAGCCAGAACTGGCTTTGACCTTTAACAAGTAGCTTGTTTCCTTGACATTTTCTCAAGATCCTTGCTCCCCATGGACTCCGTGGTCGGTGAAGGGCAGGGAGGAGTATGCCCACTCTCACACCTGCTGTCTGAGCAGACCCGTCCACACTCCGGGCTTCATGGGCTCCTCGGAGCAAGCAGCTCGTGTCCCTGTCCAGGGTGTGCAACCCCTTCCCAAGGGGCGGTTATCCCGTGTGACACACTGCTGCCTTTATTCAGAAAAAAAAAAGACAAGAAGGAAAGGCAGAGAGTCACTACCTTCTGGAAGCCAGCAACAGGGAATGAGGAAGTCGCCTGGTAGTCCTGCCTCCAGTGAACGGAGACATTGGGCGTCATGACAGCAGTGAGCGGTACACAGGCTCCGGTGTTGACGCATCACGATGGATGGGACCAAGTGTACCAGTGTTCTGTTTCTGCATCCGAGAGCAGCACTGACAGCGCCTCTGTCCGTTCCAGTGTGCTGTAGACTGAGCACGTAACAGACACCAGAAAGCCAAAGTGCTCAGCACTGATGCTTGCTTATGCTGAAGACAAGAAAGATGAAACAGCTGTGCAGTTTATTTCCATTAATGTGTGTATACTTTAAAACGTATACATTTGCATAGAAGTGCATGCTCTGTTATACAAATATTTAGTAAATCCATTAAACATAATTTCGTTTAAATGTTTTTGTATACTTACTATATTTTACTATATACTCGAGTATGCATGATATAAACCAATATATTAAACATAATAGAACTGACTTGCAACATAATAGAAACTAATATTTGCATATTAATTTCACTGTCTTTAGAAAGTTACTTCAGTTATCCTGGAAGCAGACCGGCTTTCCCCCCTCACGCAGGCGTAGTGACCACACCATGATGGATATCTGGAACCTTCTCCATTTCCAGGAGTTTTGTTCTTCTAAGCAAAGTGTTTCACTTTGTGCCAAAGAGGATGTACAGTTGGTAGGCCGGGGTCAACTTGTCTGAGAAGACTTCCGTTCCGTCCAGTCGTTTTTAGAACACGTGCAGTTGTACATGTATGTGTATGAGACTGCACACACACTGGACTGTGTCAATTGACACTGTCCATAGACAACATAACAAGCAGACTACATAGGTGGCTCCTATGCAAACATGCCCGTGGTGGTTCTTCAGAGCACAGCCCTGTGTTTTGGGTACTTTGCAGGGGGTGGAAGGGGAAGATAATAACAGTGGTGTGACTCTGCGCCCGGGCATTCTCCTAGTGGAAAGATGCACTCTCAGTGTTTTCCTCTCACGACTTACTGTACAGTTTTTGTTGCTTCTGTGGCCAAACTATCTATTCTGCGCTTTCTGTAGGGTTTGGTATGTTCTACTAAATCAGCCTGTGGTAGGAAACAGAGAAGGAGAAGGTGTGAACATGTCCCTGGTCACTTAGCCCGAGTCAGGCATGTATTCTAGCTGTTGCCTGACAAATGTAAGCTAGAGAGAACAGCAGCGGGAGTGTGAGCCCTTGAGAGAGTGCCCAGATGTTCTCTGTCAAGGCTGGAACTGAAGGGGTTCACGAAGGGCGTCTAGCATGTGGACGTGCGTGCTTTCTCAGATGCATCTTAATCGTTCCTGAAGGGAAGGCAGTGCAAAGACAGCCTGCAGGGTGGATGTGTGCTCAGCTGGGAGTCAGTGGAGGTGAGCAACAGGACTGGTGTCCACAGGAGAGCTCCCTGTGTTTGCTAGCTTACCTATCCTTGTCAGGTGAGTGTGGGTTCTGCTAGCTTTGAGACTGTGGACAAGTTATTTCGCCACTTTACAGTTTGATTTCAAAGGTAAAAATATAAATCCATCAGGCAAGTCTACATTATAGGAGGGGGCAGTTCTAAAAGCTTATTTAATTAAAGACACATGCAACTCAGGATTAATCCTTCGGAGTGAGACCGAGTTCCATCTATCTCCTCAACAATGGTGCATCTCCTCTCCCTTCTCTGCAGATTGGGGATAATAATAGCTCTATTGGGCAGGATTTTCTTTCCTGTTAAAAATAGATAGCTTGAAATCCTTGATGCGCTTAGCTAGTGTTCAGTAAGCATTAACTTTAATCCCAACAATTATTATTTTTCAGCAGAAGTATCAGCCATATGCGAGCAAGGTGTAGGTCCGATTGCAAATTCTCTAGGCTTATCTTTTTATTCTCTAAATTTTTATTGAGTTTCTAATTGAGAAAGAGTCTCATTATGTAGGCCAGCCTGTTATAAATTGCATTATCCTCCGGCTTCAGCCACCTAAATAGCTCGAACTATGACACATCGCTGAACCTAGCATTTTAGGCTTAATTTTGAATTAGGGAATTCTTTGTAATATTTTAAATTGAGAGTGACT